TTTGGCCGAACCTACGGACTCGCATACCCCATATTAAATTCGGCCTTGTGCCACATCTGACCATGTGAGGCTGTTGGTAGATATCATCGCTTCCGGAATTACTACCTTGCTAACCGATTCAGTAGTGTATAGCACTTTTAGAATAAACCTCTCTTTCTTTCATCTACGCCTGTGTTGCTGTTCCTTTCACTCGATTACCACCTTTGTTTCCTTTGTTTAAGGATACAACACAAGTAATTCAATAGAATTGTTCCACTTCATGTCAGTGGAAAACGTGGACATAGAAGGCCCAACGAATCACACTCCTTGACACACCTCTTGACATCAACCATATGCTGATGTATGGCACATAAAAGTAAAAGAAAGCAGTTTCGTTTGGGAGGCGTTAAAATTAACATTTCTTGCCTCAGTTAACAACAGATTATCGAACATTTTTTCAGATCTGCGACCAGTTTGATCTTATCGAACGAATTAGATTTAACATTATGACAGAAGTAATTCTTGTGACATCAGTATATATATCGATAACTGATGACATCAGGAAGATCGTTGATGACAAATTGAAACAACATACGTCCAGGATAAAGTGCTTGAACACTCCTGCATTTATGTAAAACGATATAGCAGAGTACCCGTTCAAAGACAACTTTCATTTGGCGAAATGATAAGATTGAATTAGATCAAAAATTAATCTAGAAATTATATAAGCTTCATCCATTAGTAAATAAGCATTACTTTTGTAGTGAAATCGATCCTCACTGACAGTCTGTGAAATTCTAACCGACAAAGTAGAGTAGGAGGCACGGTAAAGTAATGGATAGCAGTTCGAATCCCAGCCGGATTCATTACATTCGCTTCAACCTGGGAAAGGTATGAATCCTCGTCTACTCCCCAGCGATGAGTAAATAGCTGGAGAAACTGGATTCTATAGTCTTGGGTCGAAACCAGTCTAGGAGAAGGTAACTGTTAATTCAAAACCGGCTTTGAGAAGGTCGGGCTACGTCAGGTTATCTTTCCCAAGAAACATCAATTTTTACTGCTGCTGTAGTACATGTGGTAACCCTACGACCCTGATGGGTTACGGGATTCGCGATCAAAATTAAGTTGATTAAATGCTAGTAGTGTACTAGTTAGTAAACCAGATAATTACAAATAAGTAGGTGACTATTATAGTTCCTTTGGCTTTTCGGAGTATAAAAGACTTGTATGTAAAAAAAGGAACCATAGTGCCCAGTTAAAGTGTTCATTTAGAAAACTCCCATTCGCTTATTTAACTCGCACTTTTCCATTTTTACTATATACTTTAATCTCGTAAATCTGTTTAAAAAATTATAATCATTTCTATTTTTTGCTTTCTTCTGAATAAAAACTGTTAACTGGCTAAGATGTTTGAAATATAGTTTCTGTAAATATTTTCAAATTTTTGACGATTCTTTTTGCACAAATAAAAGCATTTTTCTCAATATAATTGATTATAAAACAATGTAATTTATTTTAACAAAAAGCGATTGCTATTCTGAAAAATGTCTTCGCTTTTGTCGCCTGCTTTCATCGTCTTAGTTCTATTCCGTTTCTTCTCATGATCTGGTTTTTTGACATACTCATCATTATTCTTCTTTGTTATATCTTTGTCATGCTCTTCTATTTTTTTTTCGATGATGATATCTTCTTTTCTTTCCTTTTTGTCCTTTTCCTCGCTTTTTTCTTCGTTGTTCTCGTCGACATAATCTTCGCAATTTTTTTCTTTTTCTTTTTCTTCTTTCTTTCCAAACTTGCAGCTGCTTTTTTCTTTAAAACGACCTTCGTAACCTCTGTCGATTTCTTCCACTCCTGTTTCATCCAATTAATTTACACTTCTTATGCTTCTTCTTTTCTTCTTTGTACCGTGCCCCTTCAGGACGTGGTCACTCATGACTCTCCACAATTTCCTATACATTTGTTACTATCCCTACTCCTTCATGTTTTGCCACCCATTAACGTAAAATCGGTCACTTCTTGCTTTCCTCTATCGCTTCTAAATATAAGCGTTTTATTTTTTCAATTTTCCTTGAAACTTTCTCGTTACTCACATATTCCATATATGATTTTCTTAGCATCCTTATGTAGAACTACACTAATTGCCACATGTGTCCTCTTCATTTGTGAGGAGGTTGTCCAGCATTCACTAGTATGTAGCAGGGCTAATTTGACATAGTATTTCAACACACGTTTCTTCGTTTCTTTTCCTACTTCTTAATATTTTGCTTAAATTTTGGAAGGCATCTTTTGCTGTTCCAATACGTCTTTGGATTTCGGTGTCAATTTTTTCCGTTTTTTTTTTTTAAAACACTTGCCAGATATTTAAATTTTCTTACCGTCTTGATTTGGACATCGGCGATTTTTAGCTAGCAACTTAGGCTCTTCCGCTTGAAAAAACATACATTACCATTGATGGTTTCTCCTTTCTTATTTCTTTGATTGGCTGCCATTTCTAAGAGTTCCTGTAGTTTTATTTCTGTCTTTCTTATCAACACTGTGTCATATACATATCTTAACATGTTAAGATTGTGTTCGCCAATAATAAATCCTGGTAGGACTTCTATTTCTCTTAAGGTCGTCTCGCTGTAGAGGTAGAATACATCCGGCGGGAAGAAAATTCCTAGTCTTACGCGTCTTTCTAATTCTGTGTATTTACTTAATTCTTTTTCTACCCTTACGCAGCCAGTTTGCTCCTAGTCCTGGATTTGATTTCGCTTCTGAAACACTCATTCTCTTTTGTTGGTTGCACTTTCGTCTTTCATCCTACGTGTTTCTTATCGTTACCTTGTTATTTTGACTTCCTCGTCATTTTTGTTATAAGTAATTTTCTTTTATCTTCTTTGTCATGCTATTGACGTTGTCATCTTTTTCTCCTTTTCTTTCTCTTCTTTATCGTTTTTTTTACCTTGCTCTCATCATCGTCATTATCTTCTTTGGTTTCTTTTCTTTCTTCTTTACCTTTTTCGACGTCGCCTTCTTCCTAAGCTCTCTCCCCTCCACTCTCTCGCACGTCCTGTCACTTCAATCTTCTTACTTTACACTACAAATTTAATTATTAATTAATACCGTGTCTAATATCTTTTCGCTAAAAGCCATCTGTTACTTTAACAACACGCACTTCCGGAATTGTTTCCACATTTTTCATCAAAAAAAGAATTAAAAATCGTCTCTTATTTTCATGTAATTTTGAGCGTTGGTCAAGGGTGAAACTTCAAATGCTTTCGGCTGTCTCATAACATTCGTCATCGGCTTGTGGAATGGACAGACTGATCATCGGTTTGTGACGGGCGCCGACCGTACGTTGAAGGAAATGCTTCTATGGAAACCCTGCATCTTATGGTCGACAGTGGACTTATTTGACGCATGGGTAGAGTCGGATGCACCGGGGCAAACGGTCGGTTAATGGAGTGTCTAAAGTACTATGGAGTCAGTGACAGGAACGTGTATGAGGTTCTCATTTTGTCATGAGAATGTGTACTCATAGGCGCGTGGTTTTCTGTGTGAATGTTTGCCTATGTGTAAGAGAGGAAAAGCACAAAAGAAAAAGACGGACAGAAAAAGAAAATAAAAAAAACAGAATGCATGTCACTGGAGATATTCACGCGATTTAGAAAGAAGAAGAAAATCTGTTAAAATGTATTTGCATATGGGATAATCAAAGATAAAATTCTTGCAATTGTTTAAGTTTTTCGTGCATTATATGAATTGAGCGGAAAGGAGAGAGAAACTGTAACATGTAAACGGAGAATATTTGATTCGAATAAATATTGTGAGGCATAATGGCGTCTGCGTGTGTTGGAATCGGATGAAATGTGGAATGATTAAAAGAACAATGAAATGAGTCGAAGTGAGAAGGGGAGACAGTGCTATCGGAAGAATAAAATAAAGAAAGGAAAAGAATGGAGAAATAGAACGAAAGAATAAAAAGGGAAACGAACGTAAAGAAAAAAGGAGAGCGAAAGGATAAAAGGATGAAGAGAAAGACCAGAAAAAAAGGAATGCATGAAATAGAGAGAGGAAAGAAAAGAGAAAGAAGAAAGAAAGAATAAAATTGAGAAAAGTAAGAAGAGAAAAAGGAGAACGAAAAGTATAAAAAAGAGAAAGGGTAGTAAATAGAAAGGGGAAAGAAAGAATAAAATAGAGGAAGGAAAGAATAAAACAGAGAAAGAAAAGAGAGAAATTAAACGAAAGAATAAAACAGAAAAAGGAAAGAAGAGAGATAGGTGATCAAAAAAAAAAAAGGGAAAGAAAAAAAGAGAATAAAAGAATAAAATAAAGAATAGAACAAAGAGAGAAAGCGAATATAAGAATAAAACAGAGAAAGCAAAGTAGAATGAGAGAATAAAATTAATGATCGAAGAGTGAAAGAATAAAATCGAGAAGAGAAAGAATAAAGAAAGAGAATGAAATAATAAAATAGAGAAAGAAAAGACGACAGAAAGGAGAAGGAAAGAATAAAATAGAGAAAGAAAAGACGACAGAAAGGAGAAGGAAAGAATAAAATAGAGAAAGAAAAGACGACAGAAAGGAGAAGGAAAGAATAAAATAGAGCAAGGACAGAAAAGAAAAAAAAGAGGGAAAAATAAAATAATGGAAGGAAGAGTGAATAGAGAGCGAAAAAAATAAAACAGAAAAGAAAGAACGAAAGAAAAAATAGTGAAAAAAGGAGAGACAAAAGAGAAGGATATAATAAAATAGAGAAAGGAAAGAGGAGAGAAAGAAGAAGAAAAAAAGAATAAAATAGATTTGGTTTGGCTGATTAGTTTTCTACGGCTTATCAACGCTTTACAAGTTATTTAAAGCCAGAAAAAATATTTTTAGATTGTAAGAATATTTTCTGGAAATAATAATAGTTTAGTAATACAAGTCTAGAGGTAGATTTAAACCATTCAAAATGGTATTTGTGCGTAAATAAAGTGAAACTCGACTCTTCAATCAACAATACCAAGACATTATCAATTACACTGCGTACACATCCAAGCTTTCAGCATCTTGTATTCTCAAGCGGTCACCCATCTAAGTACTGACCGGGTTCGATGATGTTTAACTTCGATGATCATAGGTGAGCCGGTGTTTCAATGTGATGTGACTGTAAGCCGGGACTAAAATAGAGAAAAGAAGGATAATTTGAAAGGACAACGAAATGATAAAATCGAGAAGAAAAAAAGAAAGAAATGACAAGGAAAAAATAAAATACAGAAAGGAAAAAAGAGAGAAAGGATGGCGAAATAATAAAATAGAGAACGGAAAGGAGAATAAAAGAATAAAATCAAGAAAGGAAAGTGGGGAGATATCAAAAGAATAAAATTCAGGAAAGAAAGAATAAAATCGAGAAAAGCTAGAAGAGAAAAATGAGAATGAAATAATAAAATAAAGAAAGAAAAGACAAAACAGAACGAAAGATTAAAAATAAAGAAAGGAAAGAAAATAAAATGGTGAACGAAAGAATAAAATAGAGAAAGGTAAGAAAAGAAAAAGGAGTAGTAACGAATAGAATAGAAAAAGGATAGAAGATAGAAAGGAGAACGAAAGAATAAAATAAAGAAGGAAAAGAAAAGAGAAAGGAGGAGTAACGAATAGAATAGAAAAGGAGAGAAAAGAGAAAGAAAGAATAAAATAAAGAGAGGAAAGGAAAGAGAAAGGAAAACAAAAGAATAAAACAGGGAAAGGAAAGAGAAAGGAGGAGTAACGAATAGAATAGAAAAGAAGAGAAAAGAGAAAGAAAGAATAAAATAAAGAGAGGAAAGGAAAGAGATAAGAGAACGAAAGAATAAAATAGAGAAAGGAAAGAAAAGAGAAAGGAGGAGTAACGAATAGAATAGAAAAAGGATAGAAGATAGAAATGAGAATGAAAGAATAAAATAAAGAAGGGCAAGAATAGAGAAAGGTGAGCGAAAGAATAAAACAAAAAAAAAATGAAAGAAGAGAGAAAGGAGAACGAAAGAATAAAATAAAGACAGGAAAGAAAAGAAACAGCAGAACGAATGTATAAAATATAGAAATAAATAGAAAGAAAAACGAAAAAATAAATTAGAGAAAAGTTACAATGGGAGAATGAAAAATAAAGTAGAGAGAGCAAAGAAGAGAGGAATGAAAAAAAACAAAAACAAACGAGAAACAACAAAATAAAATACGAAAGAAGGAAATCAATTTTTAAATAAATAAAAAACAGAATATACTTGTGTCTGTATTATATAAAATCATGTCTGAAATCTGAAATAAGATTAAAGAAAAAGAAAGATAAATTAGATTATAAAGAAAGAATGATACTGAATAACTGAGAATAAAATAATAAAGCGAAGAGAAAATAGACGAATGAATGAATAAAAAGAAAGAAAAATGAATTAAATAAATGTAGGAATTAATTAATAAAAAAAACAGTAGAGGAAATGAATTGCAAATATCTTAAGGTATGTATTAAAAGTTATGCCTTTATATCTCCAGACATCTTCATTTACATAAAAATATTTGTAAATTGCGTAATGATATGACTATACTTATAAAAGATTATAGTGTGATTTCCCATTGCCTTCTCTGGCCTCATCTTTTGCCTTCTCATAGATGAATTGCCAACAAAGCCTAGAGAGCCATGTCTGCTCTGGTACATCACATACAGGAAGAAGGAAGAGTCGATGTTTTCATGCCTTTCTTAAGAACAAAATGCAAAGTGAACCTCAATAGTTTCATTCAGAATCTGAACTCTCTGGTCGTCAATTCAATTTTTCTGTGATACTAACCATTGATAGAACCGTACTTCCAGAACCATGTATACTTTCTTCTGTACAATGTATTTTCAGGATATGTGAGATCATGCTTTCCCAAACATTTCCATTGTTTGTTCAATTACTCTCTCTCTCCAAGTCCTTCTTCTGCCACTCATCTACACAAGTCTTTTTAGGTAGGCAATATTTCGCTCGAGCTGTTTTGACTATACTATGAGCGAAGAGTATTAGTCTCTCCAGTTCTTTATTACTTATCATGTCTTGCAAAGATTTCAACTGTTTCTTTTTTAATTATTAATATAAGCGTCTTTATTTAAAACTTTCTCGTTTTCCAGATGTCCTGTTCATGATATTCTGTAAAACTACATCTCAGTTGTCTCAGGTCACCTCATATGTAAGAGAAATTGTTTAGTATTCCTAGCCATATTTGAGGATTGATATAACAGAAGCGTTTTTAGCACTCTTTTCTCGTTTTCTCTTTTCTCTTGTTCTAAGGAATATTACTAGTTTCTTAACACTGTAGTTAGTATTTGCAATCATAAACATGTATTCTCCGCAGTGCACATTTTTCTTTAATGAGAATTCCAGAATATTCGGACCGCTAGACGAAAATAAATAGAGTTTAATAAATAAACGGAGCTTCTACTCGGATATGAGTATCGACTAAAAATAACGTTTAAAGTAAAAAAAAAAACTGTCGTATTGATAAATAAAAATTAATTACCTTAGAAAACTACTTTGTTTACGTCTGGATATGAAAATGAGTAGATATAATAATTTCAAGGAAATTAATACGAGAAAAATTTCGCTGAAAGGCATTTTTCAGACTCTGCTTGATAGGTAAAACTGTTCCGTGACCGAGTTGGTTAAGGCATGTCGGATATAACTATGTATAAAAATGTAAAAAAAAAAAAAAAATACACATTTAAGGAGAGTATTGGTCCAAGTGCTGTGATAAGAAAACAGTGTGTAAAAAACATTCTAGTCTAAATATTCCGGAGAATAATTATTATTTCTCATATCGAGATGAAAATGTAGAAATGTGTGTACATGGGTAATGGAATTGCTTTAATTCATGATGCGTGATGTCGAGAGCCTTTCATTGCGTCAGTTTATATTATGATGCGATTCGAACCAAATAATCAATACTGTAATCGTTTCTCATCTATGTGAATTGGAGTCTTAAACTGCTTCGTGCGTCTGTGTTTGATTACAAATGGCGTTGTCCTCTATAAAATATGACAAGGTTGGGTTACGGAGGTCTGCGACGGAATGGGCTGTCATTTCAAACTTATCGAGAAATTCTAAGTGAACTCATAATGATGCAGTCGTTCGAGTTGGCTTTTGAGAAATTTACAAAGAAATTAAAGGATTTTATTATAGAGACAATTAAACAACTGAGCTGAATGGTATAATTAAAATAAACTTAAATAGTGTGTTCTTATTTTGTATCGATAATGTTGAAATTAAGTAAAATATTGTTTTGCTATAAAAGTCTGTTACCGGTTCGGTAATGCAAGAAAATATAGATATTTAAACGTATTTTTAATTTATTTTCATCTATTTTCTTCGTTTTTAAAGTTTGGCATTTGAAATAAAAAGGACTAATTTGTACGTATTGTACAAACCAATTCCTCGACCAGACTCAGAGGAGAGATCCACCGTAAAGAAAAAAAACAAAAAAACAAAAAAAACACCCAAAAACCCAACGGTGGCTGCTGACAAAACTTTCTGGTTGTGTCGTTCGTGCGTGTCTTGCCAATCACAGATGAACTTGAGACAAGTAAGCAGCTCCCCGCCTTCCGAATTCTCATTCCCGAGTAAAAGTCATGACCTCTTGTGCACCAAATAAAAATACAGGCACGATTAAATTATTTCAATTTCTATTCCACATAATAGGATGGAAATTTCATATGGTACGCACATGATTTTTCAACGATTATTGTGTTCCAAATATCATAAGGCGTAAAAAAATATCTACTCACACTTTTATCTGAATTGGTTTATAGCCCAAAATTTACAGCAAGTCCAGATAATACTGGGGTTATTCTAGGCTATACTGTTTTATATCCGGAGTATAAATTACGCCAAGTCACTTCATATCCACTGGCATACAATGGGCTAAACTAGTATATATCTTCTAGGCCAGAATATAGACCCTTTTGCCCATACAATAAGACGTATATTATTGCGTACACATAACATAGACGGGTGCCACCCTCAGTTTTACACAGATTCCTTGGTTTCCATATTACTAGGCCAATTTCTCGCTGATTATTGATTTTGAACAAAATTACCTTTTTAGAAACATGGATAACTGTTCATTGCTGAATTTATTCATATCAGCCATTATTCCAAGTTTGTAGGCAGTTGTAATCCTATATTATTCTTTTAAAGAAAAACAGTGGCTGGCATTAGTAATAAAAGGACATATGAAATAACCTCGGAGAATATAATTTAGATGAGCTTATTTTATACCACGATGTATAAAGAATATAAGCACAGTCATACTACAGGGATATGTTGGATTCTGTTAAACTTTTCCTGAGTATGTTCTGAGAGTGGGTCAATTTACACTGGCATGATTATTTTATTAGTTGAAAATTTTCGACTAGCAAATGTATTCAAAATAACACTTGGATTTGGCACAAAAGAGTCTGCTGACCGATTATACTCTTTGCTAAATGTTGCCAACGCCAATTTGTCAGTTTACCCGAAGCTTTTCTTGCTGTAAACTATATATTTCGATGATGTCTTGACACAGAATCTTCATATATTTAAGAAACTTCTATTTTATAGATGAGTTGGATATATAGATGTGCAAAGATAATGAAATGTCTATTTTGATTTCATTGCGAACGTAGAGAAAAAAAAGAACAAGATAATAAAATAAAGAAAAGAAAAGAAAGAAGAGAGAAAAAGAATGAAAGAATTAAATAAAGAAAGGAAAGAAGAAAGAAAAGAAACGGAAGAATAAACGAAAGAAAGGAAAAAAAAAACTAAGGAAAACGAATGAAAAAATAGCGAAATGAGAGAATAAAATGCGAAAATATGAAAGAAATTTTAAAATAAATTCTAAAGGGAATGAACTGAGATAAGAAAAAGAAAAATCAATTAAAAGAATGAAATATAGAATAAGATTAAAGCAAAAGAATGATAACATTGAGAATAAATAAAGAATGAAAAAGAATTGAGAATAAGAGAATAAATGAAAGGGAAAACAGAAGAACATATTAATAAAAAATAAAGGAAAATGAATGAATCAAACAAAGGAATGAATTAGCAAAAGTGATAAAGGAAATACATTACAAATATCTCTCAATACGTCTTCATTTACTTAAAAAATATCTGTAAATTGTGTATTGACAT